AAAAAAAAAAAAAAAAAAAAACTAGTTCCAGTTAATTAATACTAGTGCCACAATTTTCATAAAATGAAACATTTTCCAAAAATAAAATACTTCTTACAATATATTTAATTATTGGAAAATCTTACATTTTTACAGGTAAATTCTTACATTTTCCAAAAATCTTACATTTTTACAGGTAAAATCTTACATTTTTAACTACATATGATATGTCCAAAGTTGAGGCAAACCCAGGGCCTTTTGTGAAATACACTCCCCCTAAAAGCGCCTGAGGTAAGGTGGTAAGATATTTTTTTTTTCTAAATGGGACATGTGTCACATTTTTATTGGATAATGAAATTCATATATCATATTATATAAATTAAATTATCATTCATATTTTGTATCAAAAAATAAAAATAAAAATACCAAAATTCATAATTTTTCATTCTCTACAAATAGAGACCACATTTGATATTTTTTAGAACACAATTAATTTATCATTTTTTACAATTAATTTATCTTATTGGAAGATGACGCAAATTTATATAAGATGAACATGATACATAGTAAGATGAACATGTTATAGAGTAAGATGAACATGTCATAGAACAAGATGAAAATGCTACATTTTCACAGATGAAATTTAGATGAACATGTTCTAAAATAAGATGAACATGTTACATAGTAAAATGAACATGTTATAGAATAATATGAACATGTTCATTTTTTACAATTAATTTATCTTATTGGAAGATTATAACGCAAATCTATAATAAGATGAACATGTCACATAGTAAGATGAACATGTTACATAGTCAGATGAACATGTTATAGAGTAAGATGAACATGTCATAGAATAAGATGAAAATGTTACATTTTCACAGATGAAATTTAGATGAACATGTTCTAAAATAAGATGAACATATTACATAATAAAATGAACATGTTATAGAATAAAATGAACATTTTACGTACACAATAAGGTGAACATGTTATAAAATAAGATGAAGATGTTACCAAAATGAGATGAACATGTTATAAAATAAGATGAATATGTATTATTTCAATCTGTAACATGTTCATCTTATTTGAAAACATATTCATCTTATTATGTAACATGTTCATTATATGTCAGTATAATAAAATAATTACGAAAAAATGAAAAATTAATTGTGTTAAAAAACCTATCAAATGTGGTCACTATTTATAAATAATAAAAAATTATGAATTTTGGTATTTTTTTTTTTATTTTTTTAATATAAATAATTAATGATATTTTAATTTATGCAATATGTCTCATTTTTAATTAAAAAAAGAAAAATGAAAATGTGCACTACACTCTCTAAATTTTCTAGTTTTTGGAGGTGAGGGGCGCGTGCAAAAGAGCACACGGTAGTGCTACTGAACCGAGGTAGTTGCCCATGTGAAGCAAAAAGGTAATCTCTGATAATTCCAATTTCCAAAAATAGTATAGGGCAACCACACCCACGACTTCACACATAACACACGTGGCCACTTCAACATGGCGAATGAGTGATGGTGTCATATCAAACATCATAAGAAAACAAATGAAATATTTAGAGCATGTTTGTTTATGAAAAATTTTGGTTTTGTTAGATTTTTTGGTTTGGTTTGGTTAATTTTGAAAAAAGTGATATGGTTAGATGATAGTGGATATATTAAAATA